CCACCCAAACCTCTTAGGTTGGTGCCAGAGCCCGCGATCCTTCACAGGTTTCGCGCGATTCGCGCGAAATTGCAAGCGCCCATTTGAACATTTGAAAATGAAACAAGAAGAAACATGAACAGTCGTCATTCAGCCATCATCGTCAATTGAACTTCGGCGGGATTGAAGAGCACCATGCAGTATTGATCGGGCACGTGTGGATTCCTGCGACCTCTCGCGCGAAGCGCGCGAAGCTGCGACAGATCGCCGACTCTGACACCAGCCTTACATTACGCGCTGGATCGCCTCCAACAATGCTCAGCCTCCAAACTAGCGTGTTCTCTGCCTCTAAGTCTTACTTAGTTTAACTTATCATACTTAGGCTGCAAAATATCAATCAACATATTAATTCCATAAAAATTAAGATAGCGGGTCGAGAAAATGTGCAAAATGAAGGGCCAAGAAGAAGTGAAGGACTTTTGTGCTTTACAGATTCCTAATTTCACCGCAAAAGCTCCCAGTTGTAATACGAACGGTTGAATGTACATAGAACACCAAATCCCATCGCAGATGACAATTTTTGAAGAAAGATGCGTTCAAAGAGAATGGGGCGCTTCTGCTGGAATCAGCACCGTTTCACCCCACCAGCCGCTTGATGAATTTTTCGGAGATGATGCTACTTATCCAAAAAGGCTTCGAGGGTAACGTGCAGATTGGCGGGGAAGGGGTTATGCTGACTCTTCTCAACGAAAAGGGGGGCCATCAGATCTGGGTATAGGTGGTCGGTGGGTCCGTGCAGGAATGAAGAAATCTGTAGGAAATGTATCAGAAGCCGAAAAATGGGTCTCCCTCTATGCGCGTTAATTTGTGCATTAATGCGACTCTCATCGGTGCTGCCCTCCTCAACGCTGATGGCCGCTCTCTGCAAAACGGCTGGAGTTAGCGAGGTTCACCTATCGTTTACCCATACATACATAGGCGCGAGCGGAGCGGGTGCGGCCATGCTAGGTCGCAGGGTCATTCTTTGCAGAAACGCTTCGACTGCCACTCGACTTCGGTTCCCTTCCTCGAGCTCCGATCTCAACCTCAACACAGTGATTAACGCTGCTTTTAGGAGACTGTTCTTAGTATCGCAGGTGCCACTGGTCAGTTGAGGACACATTGTCTCTCGGTTATGAATGTATCGTGAGAAGCTTCGAGAAGCTTCCATCGCATTCCACAACTAAATTCTTCTGAAAATGCAATCTCTGTGAGATTGAAAAATTAAATTTAAAAAAATTTTCACCTATGAAATAAACAACTACGGTTTTTCTCAAAACTTTTCCCTTCATCCTAACATTGGGTTATATTTAGTGAATGTCATCTCTAATAATCACTACTAATTACCTTATAGTTAGAGCACCTATTAATACTAATAACTGTAGTGACAGTAGTGTGTACATAGTTTCAGTCATTACCAACGGCAATGGTAAGATTCGACTGAAACTCGGCTCCGATCCACAGATTCATTACCGTAAGTTTCCAGAACAGTCAATATTGCATGTCTGCTGGCAGTTGTCAAAATTCCCCTTTTGTGAAAATCCGCCTATAATTGATGACTCAAGCGATTTCTGGCTAATCTTCTAACATGCTGACTTCTACGATTTTCTATCGCTTCTCGAAGCTTTCGAAATTTTCGTGGATTTGCCAGACGCACTCCATTAGTTTCATACTCGTTGTCTTTACTCAAAAATCCATTTCGAAAGAACCTACCCGGGTGCGTTTGATTTCTGTAGCCAAATAAACTGCGAAATACGAGTCACATCCGCAACGCGAACGCGCGCGTCTCAAGCCAGTCAGTTACAGATGTGTTCGCCCCACAGTGATCGACTGAGTTGAATTTCTTTTGATTTTAAACATCTTCCCAACTAACAAGACAAGATATGAAATTAATGGAGTGCGTCACTGGACCCTCTGTTGTCCAGAAAGCCTGAGTTCCAATTTTGAGTTATAACTATTCTTACCCGATTTTTCAGTAAGTGCTGCTGCTTGGCTCGAAACGCTGGTAGATGTGGCCGAGAGGGTATCACTGGAATCTGTGAAACAATGTGTACGTCACTGGAGCAATTTTTGATTACTCAATGCTGAATCGCATAGTCCATCATCTATTGAGAACAAATGACCTCATCTTTTTATAATGCTCTAACCTGACATCAGTACCCCGTTCCTAAGGCGGTAACATGCTGATCTCGTGGGCGGAGTTACTTGAATCTTGAAGGCTTTCCGTGAGTACAACGATCCTCTTGCCTCTTAAAAGGGGAGTGCCCACCAATGAGAAAGCTGTAGAGTTCGAAGAGACTCCGCCCATAATCGATCACCGTGGAAATTATTATTATTTTCACTGTGGGTTGGAGTCCCACCTTAAGGCCGATGTCAGACTTTGCGAATCGCGCGATTCGCTAGCGTCTGCGGTCGCGTCGCGGCCAGTGAATCACTCAATTGGCTGGTACCGCAACGCGACCGCGGACGCTAGCGAATCGCGCGATTCGCAAAGTCTGACATCGGCCTAAAAGAGAATCGTAGGCAAATGAAGTCACCACTGTAGTGCTAGTCAATTCGCGTATCTTTAAAACATTGACGTCAATGCGAGTTTTGGCTTTTTTGGCAACGTGGGACATGGGCAGTTTGGCGGGCGCGATCTCTGAGACGCGCAACCGCGTCTCATTGTCCAACAAGGTGCGTTTTTCGGAACTCAAACACTGAAAGTAGCGAGCGAAACAAGGCGCAATCCGGAGTTTGGGAGGAGGCTTCAGTCGCCAACGCATGTCCGCGCCGCCCTTTAGATAATAGCTCAAAATAAGGGGCCGTAAACCAAGGGGGATATAGTCAGTTCAGGAAACTGGAGAGCGGGAAGAATCACTAGAAATGTGTGGAAATGGGAATGTGCGCGTTTACACTATCTTCCTCTCAAAAGACTCACTCAAGCTGCGCGCAGCGTCGCCGACTTCAGCCTCACCTTGAACCTGAAATAAACGAGTCAGCAGCTGTGTGCAAGCATTCTAACCATTTCACGGACCACCGACGTTTACAGCTGGATTGACGTATGATCTACAGAATATTGGAAAGAAGCTAAGCATGCGCTAAAAAGGGGAGGCAAAGTCTTCGAGACGCGCAACGTGCTCAAATGCGCAAATGTGTTGAATACAACATTGCTCTCTCGCCTCTCCCCCCCCTGATCCTTGCAATTTTTTACCAACCCAATATTGTGAACGATCGAGGGGGACGAGTGAAAACGATAGTCTTTGAACGGAATTGATTGAATCTGGTTCGTTCAACAGTTTTCATGGTTAATAAATGAGAGATTCCTTATCTCTACGTGAATACATGAGAACATATTCAGATAGTGCCTGTTGTTCAACAACAAGCCGAACCTGCTCAGCGTGTGCAGCGGCGAATCATCGCCACCAAGTTGCTGCAAAAACTCGCCGACATATTGCCAGCTAATGAGTGGGTTTGTTTCTCAGGTATAGATAATGATAATGGATAATGTGGCGAGTTCCGTGAGATATTTCTCACTGCGGTAGGGCTAATGGTGAGGTTCAACTTTACAACTGTGGGCATACTAAACCGCGACTAGAATATCACGTAGGCTCGGTGACGCGTACATCTGGGAGAACTGTAAGCCGTATTGCAGTGATGTCATACAATCCTAAAAGACCACTGCTCTTAATATCCTGAGTAAATTTCATAGACTATCTCATTGTGAAACCCATATCATGAAATGGACGGTTCTGGAAGGGGGGGGGGTTACATAAAAAGTCGATAACTCAAACTAAGATAGTTCCTGGTCGAACTTCCTTAGCATGTGGTGTCACTTTACAATCGTGGACATCCAAGCCTAATGTTTCGACAAGAACAAGCAAAGGCGAAATTCGTACTTGAGCCCTTAATTTAGTCAATGTGCTTGCTTTGCAGACGAGGATGGTATTTGCCAGTGCCCATTTTCTTGCCTTTTGAGTCTGTAATAGACTAACGTCTGTTTCCAGACACCCCTATAGCCTCTCGATGAAGTAAAAATCATGGAACCTAACCCTCTAGTGGAAGCACGGGCTGCAAACCGTTGTGGCTCCCTTCATGAGGACGTAAGCAAACCAGCCCTTTTGGCACATCGGCTGGGACCGTATGCTGAATGTTGGGGAGGGGATGGTGTCCCCGACGGTGGACGGACAACTTCAACGCGGTCCTTAGAACCGCCACAATTTGGCGCTTACCTTAGAACTAAGCCTTAAAGAGAGGACGGGTCCGTCCCCTCTCCTAGGCTTAGTCCAAGGGTGAGCAAGACCAGTCCTTCTGGCGGAGCTGCTGGACCAGCTGCACCACTTGCGTCAGTACTCTCCTATCGTACCAACCGAGTTGAAGTAAACCGTCGACCGTTGGGGACCCCATCCCCTCCCCAACATTCAGCATACGGTCCCAGCCGATGTGCCAAAAGGGCTGGTTTGCTTACGTCTTCAGGAGCAGAGGTGTTTTAAAACACGTTATGACTTCAACATTGCAACTCCCAAGCTAGCGCTTAAGCTGTGGGTAGTTGCACCCATCCCTGACTATCTAGAATTCGGTTATTTTTTTGAATTGGCATTTCCACTCAATTTTGATGGGGTGTCGAATGCTTATTTTCGGTTGTGATCCTCAAATGCTGTACATTTCAGAGTTCGGAAGGAGCTCGGTCCATGTGCTCAGATCTTGTGCCAAGATAGCAATTCAAATGTTCGGACTTCAATGGCACAACGACTGCCAGTCATCGCCAGAGCACTCAAGTTGGTCGGGAGCATGCGCGTTCACAATTTCATTCAAAAATTGCATCGCGACCGCTCGCGAACCAGACTTGTCGGTGGAGACGTCCCGCGATAACTTTTCATTACAGAAACTCCAGCGATGTTGTCTCCCTGTTGTTGCCATGTTTTGTACAGTTATACAAGGACGATGATATGACCGTCAAAGAGGCCTGCATGAACAACATCGCTCAGTGCATTCCGCATTTCACAAATGGTCAGTCCTATTCGTAATTGGTTCTTCTCCAAGCTCAGTGAAATCCACTTCAGAAGCAAAGAAGAACACAGTATTCCCGCTGATAAAGAAGTCAACTGAGCAGAGCTTGGAGCAGAAGGACGATACTCTGATGGTGATTGCGAAGAATTTTGGAGAATGGTGGGTATTTTCATGATAATTCTCAGCTTCCTTCTTGACCCATATGACCACATTATGGCATAGGGAGAGTTGGGAGGACAAGGCTTCTCTGGACTTAAAGGTAGTGATCATCATGGCCGATGGGCGGTGCAGTTCTGATGACTGCATTGAACGTCATTGGTGGACTAGAAACTTAGGGCGCTGGAGGGAACGGCGAGGGGGAGGGGAGGCGAATGGATGGGACCGCCTCTTCGCGCACTTCCACCAACGATGTCCAACGACGTCATCAAAACTGTAACGCCCTTTCAATTCTGCTCATTGTCCGCAGATGGCGAAAAATTTTGTGGATCCTCTGCGTCCATGTCGTCCTGACGGTTTCTTTGAGTTCCAGTTTGTTTGAGTGGACTCACAGTACCAAAAGCTCAAAACTTAGCCGTATAGACTTGTTTCAGGTGCTACACACTACGCGATGTACTGGATCAGTTGGACCTGTGCTGGGTTCTGAACACGTACTGCAAAATTGGTCAAGTTGCACTGTCAAAGGAAGAGAATGCCACGCAAAAAGTGATGCTGACAATGTGCCGACGAATGACCGGATTCAACCTACCGGTGAGGCCTTCCAAAAACCGCTTTTCTTCTTTGCAAGTCGTGGATTGCTACCACGAGCGGATACGATTCATGCCACATGGACAATGGCTAGTCAGCGTAACCATGACCAAATTGACTATGTGGCACAAACCGCTACGCGACCGCACGCAACATGCTGAACACCCATACTTCGTTTCCGTAGCAGGGCCTGTAATAACAGTGAATCCGGTAGTGCACAGCCTCAG